TCCAGAGTCCCCAGTACACAAGGTTTCCTTCAGCCTCTTCACTTCTCTGTCTCTCCATCAGTTTTTTTCATTATGCATTACCATTGATTAAGTTTATTAATTATGACCGTTTTGGTACACATCCATTATTGTTCACCTGCAGTCTCTGGACAGATGTCCCTGAGTCACACCTAACATCCAGAACATAATGTTAGACCAGGGTTACAAATATGATCATCAGTAAATGGGGAGATAAATAAGAGGAATATTTAAATGACTGGAATTCACCCTATAAAACACTGTTAAACTACAGTTTCTGATTCTCAGCAGATATATAGAATATTATAAACCACTGATGAAAACATAGAAGACCGTTTGTTCTTTGTGACATTTGTATTGGGTGGGGTGTGGTGTCATTGGTGTGAAATGTTCAGTGGGCGTTCCGCCTTTTAGTTGGGTGTGTTCAGACTTAGCAGCATTATTTCCTTCTCTCAACAGGCCTGGAAAACCCCACCCAAACCCTGTCCTCAGCACGGTAGCAGTCAGCCATGTGGGCAGCTTGACGCCGACTGAAGAAGAGAACTTCAGTTTTTACCAAAGTGACTCCACGTACTGATCTGCTCAGCCCCAGCATCAGTCAGTGTTACACAGCCTGGAACTTGCACACGGCTATAGGCTGGAAATGATGAAGTGATTAAAGTACAGACTCTCAAACCTTTTTATGGCCTTGATATTGTTTTATATTTGGTGCTTGTGCTTTGTTCTGTATATTTTCTACACATGCTAAACTCCAGTTGAATGCAGCAGAGATTTACATACGTACTGTGTTTTTTAAATCCAGTTTAAGGTTTTTAAAGGCTGCATTGTGTGGAGAGGGTGTGAAACCAGTCCTACAGGACTGTTGACTGGTGTGTCCCTGTATTGTCTTTCCAGTTTCACTGCTTACAGATTTCCCCAGTGACTCAGAGAAAATGTGGATTGCTGTTCATAGTTTACACAATTTGTAACGTCTCACTACTTATTGATAAAAGACTTGTATGGAAACCTCATATCAGTGGTACTTCACTGCCTGACAGTCGCACCTTTTAATAAACGCATCACTGATTTGGCGAGGTTTTTTTTCCGTGTGCGTCTTTACGCATTCGGTAGGAAGTTGGAGAGCTTTTACGCACAAGTGAAACTGCACTGTTTAGACGTAGGAAACGTTTCGGAAGGCTGAAATGCTCATCTGAAGACGGGAAAGGCGAGTTATTTGAGGGACGTGCGCGCGGCGCCCCCGACGCATCTTTTGGGCGTTTAAAGACGCACAGAAACCCGAGAGAGACCACTGTGGATCCGTACGTCTGACTTGGTTTGTGTGGAGTACCGTATGAACATGAGCAAAACGAAGAGCAAAAGCGACAATAAACCCAATAAAACGGAAAAAGCTTTGGCTGCAGAGAAAGAGCAGTTTGGCAAACAGCAGGTGGGTAATGTGGTTTTATTACAGGTACATTAAATAGTTTGGGCTGAGGCCTTTACATTGGATGAAAGCACAATGCCAGAACGTGTAAAGTGAAATTAAAATCAACAGAAATAATCTAACTTAATCCTTTCAGTGGAAATATTGAAGTCTTTTTAACACTTCTTATTAGATTTTTTAAAAAGGTTTTGCGATATTGGCCGAAAACTAACGTTTTTGTAATTAAAGCTCTGTCGGATGCTGACTTGTAGAGACGTTTGAGGTGTATTTGAGTCATGATGGCTGTTGTCTCGTTTCTTTCAGCTCAACAGCATCAGCAAAGCCCTCACCTCCGCTGAAACACCGGCCAAAGAGAAACATGTGCGCAGTATCCTTCCACGTTTACCAACGTTGGCCTCCTTTCCAGAAATGGAAATATCATTGGTATATAAATGTAAACAAAAATAGTCCACAGCTGGGGAACATGACTATTTCTACACATTCTAATGTTCACTCATCCAATAATTGCTGAGATATTTTAGTCTGGACCAAAGTGGCCGATCAGATGACGTTGCCAACCATAGAATCACAAAAACAGAAACTTTCTTTTACTAATTACATTGAAAAGTAAAAACCTCACTGAGGGGCAGTGTTGAGCTGAGCTGGCCACAATGAGCACATGGGCTGGTTCCACCACTGCTCATTATGTGCATTAGTGTTTTGGAGGTTTCCTTGACAGCTGTGAAGATGTCATCTTGGGAAGTCACAAGGAGGGTGGAGCGACCACCTTCTGGTCCTACTCCCTGAACCTGCCTCTGTCCAGCAGCTCCATGATCGCCTGGAAGTTCTGCTACCTGCTGCACAAGCTGCTCAGGGAGGGACACAGGAATGTAAGTCCTCCATGTCTTTGTTGTCCTCTGTCTCCTTCACCTTCTCCATGTGTCACATTGAAGTTTAACCTCTGTTGTGTCTGTTGGACCTACAGGCTGTTGCAGACTCCTACAGACACTGCCGCAGTGTGAAAGACATGGGCACTCTCTGGGTGAGTCCCTGCCTCGATAGAGCTATAAATTTATAATCACAGCAGACTTCACTTTGAAGTGCGTCTGCTGTTTAGCGTTTTTAGAGTTGAATGACAAGTTATCGATGTCCAGATGCTCCACAGAACAGCTGTAAAATGTCTCAGGGACATTTCATCTCTAAACTTCTCACATGGTTTCATTTAAATAACTGTTTGAGGCTGAAAGAGATCAGAATCAGAATCAGAATCAGAATCAGCTTTATTGGCCAGGTGTGTTGGACACACAAGGAATTTGACTCTGGTACATCGGCTCTCAATGTGCAAACAGTAAACCAGCATAAGGCTGTGTAATATAACAAAATAGCAGTATTGCCACTGTCACACAGTAAACAATGCAGAATAAGCAGTATAAACAGTAACCAATGCAGACAACAAAGGAATGTTCATTGAAATGAGATAAATAGGGATAAAAACAGAGTACTTAAAACTAGAGACCTG